GCCGAGGCAACGGGAGGGCGGGAGGGCTGGCGCTCGGGGCTCCGGGGGGCTGCTGGGGTGGAGGCGTCCAACAGAAGGGCACGAGGGCCAGCGCTGAGCCCCTCTGTGTCCGGCCCCACTGTCCTGTCCTCACAGCAAGGATGAGCCTTCACTCTCCAGATGCCACGTCCCTGCCCCGGGTCACAGCTGTCCAGTGGCAGGGCTGGGACTAATCCTGTCTGGCTCTGAGCCCCACGCCTGGCAGCCCCAGTGCCGGCCACGGCAGCCTCCCTCCTCCCCGCAGCTTCGCCGGCCTGGCTGCCCCACCACAGCCATCAGCCGGTGCCCTGGCCGTCAGGGGGAGGGGGAGGCAGGGGGGACACTTGGGCCACATCCTGCCCTCCGGCCTCACCCAGGGCATTCAGGGTTCCCGTGGGGCTGCCCGGTGTCCCAGGGCTGTGCCGGGTGGTGGTCGGGGCTGCGAGGACAGCGGTGGGCCCCCCTCAGGTCACGTGCCATGAGCTGTGCCACCTGCTGGGCCTGGGGAGCTGCCGCTGGCTGCGCTGCCTCATGCAGGGGGCTCTCAGCCTGGACGAGGCCCTGAGGCGGCCCCTGGACCTCTGCCCCATCTGCCTGCGGAAGCTGCAGCACGTCCTGGGCTTCCAGCTCGTGGACAGGTACAAGGTGAGCTGAGCCCCTGGGCGCTGGCCCCGGGCAAGGAGAGGGGAGCACTGTGGGGCGCAGGGGTGCAGAGCCCAGGCCGAGTGAAAGGCCTGCACTGGGTCCAGCTCCTGGGTCTCACTGATCTTGCCAGGGGGCAGCACTCTGTATCCTCAGCCTGGAGCTGGGGCAGGTAGGGGCAGGGACCAGGCGTCTGTCCGTCAACAAGAGCCAGATTCAGGGGGTGCTGTGGGATCTGGCCTGTGTCGGTCTCACCTGGGTTCTTGCACCCCCTGCTCTGTGGTGATGGCGTGGTCCCCACATCACTGCCACCCAGAGGAAGGGCAGGCCCCCCAGGAACGGGGGAGCCAGACTAAAGGGCCCTGGCGGCAGGGGCTCCCCGCTTCCAGCCTGCTCCCTCCAAGCCCGTGTGGCCGCGCTGCCCTCTGCTGGCGGCCGGGGGCACTGCAGGCGGTGGAACCCCCCTGAGCAGCTCTGTTCAGAAACTCAGACATTGGACCCCGAGCCGAGTTCAAAGGCACAAAGTGTTTATTTTCCCTTTAAGTCCACCTCTGGATGAAAACACTGAGTTTAAAAAGTTTTCATCTGAATAAAAACAAAAGCCTATCAACCGACTAGCTTTGGCTTCATTTTAAAACCAGAAGTTTTGGGCCAACAGCTTTACATGAATCTCGCTGGGTTTGCGTTTCCAGGGGGGCCGTCCTATCCCTGGGTGCGGCCGCCTGGGTCACAAAGCACGTGGTTTCGATGGTGGCCCAGGGTTGGATGGTGCTCCAGATTTCAGTGACAGTCCAGGTTTTGGGGACAGTCCAGATTTTGGTGACAGTCCGGGTTTCGGGGACAGTCCTGGTTTCAGTGATGGTCTAGCTGGTGAACTCCGGCACGAGGCTCTCAGACTGGGCATCGCTGGGCTGGGTGAGGGTCCTTGGTGATGCTGCTGGTTGGGGACCCCACCTTGAGGCCCCTGACTGGGGGCGCCGGGCATCTCCAGGTCCCAGGCTGCCTCCCTGCCCGATTGTGGTAAATAGTACAGGGGGCAGGGAGGAGGCGCCTGCCCTGCTGGGGAGGGGATCCCACCGGCCGGGCCTGGGTGGGTGCCGGGCCTCAGCGCCTCACCTGCAGAGTGGCTCACAGTGGTCCTTGTGTGGGCGGAACGGCACGGTCACCGGTGTCCTCTCAGGCGGCTGCTGTCACGTGCAGGGTCACGGGGAAGTTGCTTAGATTCCTCCCGGTGTGTGGGGTGCAGGGAGCCAGCTTGGGGCTGATCCTCGATTACGCCCTTCCTCGGGCCTGATCACCCGTCTCACACGAACCCCCCACCTTTTATCCCCTGCCTCCCCCCCACAGCCAGGAAGCTGGCCTCCCCTGCCC